GGTATTTATTCTGTTGTACCCAGAAAAGGAGGCTTTTGCTAATTGAGATGAGCCCCAACAACATTATGTTCCATCTGGTACAACATAAAACTTGCTTAGGAGTCTGGGGAGTTGCAGTTTCTAATTGTCAGAAATGTGTGGTCAGTTTGGAAAGGATTTCCAGCTTAGACCCTTATCCTGGCTCCAACCTGTAGTCTTCCAACCCTGTGTCATGGTGTTTGGGTAGACCTGTGGGGGAAGGTCCTTTTTCCCTGGTAGTGCATCCTGTGTCAGGGATCACGAGTGGTTTCCCCTAGCCAGAGTCACCCCTTTCTACCCCTGAGCTTCACTAGGCATTACAGGGTCAGCATCCCCGAACTTTCTCCTGAGACAACTCCTCTGTCTCCAGCCCAGTCAGGCGAGGGAAAGAGGGAGGGGGTGGTCCTCTCCTTCAGACAGCAATCAGGCCCCAGCTATAGAACAGCCAGTTCATCAGCTCTGCCCAAGCTCCTACTCCTGTTCAACCAAAGTGTCCCTTGATAAGGTTAAGGACTGAAAAATGTTCATTGAATCTAGCAACAGGGGTCAGCAGAGTGGTGGGGGAGAAGCCAGGCCACAGCAAGGAGACAGTGGAAATAAAAGGGAACAACACATGCAGACAGCTGCTCTTCCAGGCAGTGTGGCTGTGCAGCAGCAGGGAGAAAGAGGCAGGGGCAGTGGGGTGAGCCTCAGAGCAGCGCTGGTGGGAGCAGGCGAACCAGGAAAAGCTGAGACTGTGGGTTCCAGTGCCAGGCCAGAAGGAGGAGGAGAGCCACATGCCAGAGATGAGAATTGTGACATAGACACAGGGGCTTTGCTGTCCCCAAGGCAGGAAACTGGTGGCATCATCCCCCAGAGTAGAAGGTGTGTTCATCTTCAGAGCCTGAAGTGGACAGGCTGAGGTCGGGGGCGGGTGGAGGTAGAGGAGTTGTGGACCAGTCCAGGAGAGGACTCGAGGCACCAGGAGGAACGTGAGGGCCGGCCGCCTGGAGGTGTGGTCTGGACTCCAGAGCCTGGTGGCCCTCCAGCTTCTCAGGAGGACGCTCGGTGGCCTGGTTTGATCATGTCTGCATGGTGCCCTAGCCCAGCGGGCAGGCCAACTGCTTGGCTTCATCCCTGCTGGAAGCACCACCGGTGCCTGAGCTGCTCTGGCCAAATCTGGGTCAGGGAGCTCAGAGGAGAGAGGGATCGTGACCTTGGCTTTGTGTGGCTGGCAGGGATGGCAATGATTTAGTTTGCCAATGACTGTTTTAAAAAATTATATTTGGCTAGCTCATCAGAATTCATTTTACCTGCCTGGCCCTTGAGGGTAACAGACTTTGCAATGCCTGGTGTGCTCAGAAGCGTGTGGGGCACTTTGGGGCAGGAGCATGAGAAGGGAAAATAACCTTGGCAGGCGGGGTGCGGGAGGCGAACTGGACTGAAGGCAGAGTATGCTATACACTTGGGGGCCCCAGGCTCCTCGGAAAAGAAAAGGCTGTCCTTTGTGGAGAAAAGGAAATCCTTTTCTGGGGCATTTGACTTTCATAAAGGAATAGTTTCTTGGGTGCTTAGTCTTAGAGCATGGCAACAGAAAACACTTGCCTAGATTTTTAAAAGCCCCTTTCTGAATCATTCTAACCTGGTTTCCTGAGTCCTTTCAGAATGCCAGAGGGAAAAAGAAATGCATTAAGTTGACATTCCAATTCAAAAAGTTGTATGGATATTGTCTTGAAGGATATATAGAGAAGGGATAGCTAACCAATAGCTTACTGCTAAGCCTCCTGCCGGGGGTTCGCCAACCCAATTCCTTCCAGAATCCTTTCCTGTTACCCAAGGAGTAACAGGTTATTGCAATCATCGTTCAGTTTTATTTGACCTACTTCACAAAACCAAGTTCAGGTATCTGAATAACTACAAGAACTAAAGCATTATTGCACTTCCTCTAAAAGCCTTTCTACTGACCGAGGCCATACCCAACAGTGATCACCACCAAGTCCTCAGGGCCCTTGCCCTGAAACTGATGCATGAGAACCACTCAGACTAAATGAAAAGGCTGCAGACGGTCACCAACCTTTATATGGCAGAGTTTGGGCACTGGCAGTTCACGAAGAATTACTGGTCTGCTAAGCAGGTAAGTGGAAAGGTGAAAAAGGCAAAAGCATATTCTTACTTCAGAGGAAATTTAAGGACTGGTGGCTAATCTATATCTAGCCTTTTTAAAAAAAGATACCTTACTACTCGGTACTATTTATTGTAGGCTTATCCACTCAGTGCCAGGCACAAACAACGCTATGAATTAAGTATAGTAAAACCCCACATCATGAAATAATGACCAGAGTTTTCTCTATTATTATTACACCACTTTATAGGTCAGGAAATTGAAACTCACTTGCCCCAAGTTATGCCAATGGAAATTGGCAGAGCCAGGTTTCCACCCAATTACCTGGGCTTCAAGTGACTGCTTTTAACTGCTGCAATGCAATTTACTTCTGGGAAGAAGGACCTACGTATAGCACCAGCAACAATAGCCGCACCGGCCTGAGTGCTGGCCACACACCAGGCTTTGTCCAAAGCCCCTTCAACACATTCTTTCATTTACTTTCATCCTGAGCCTAAGAGGGAGGTACTGTTATTATTGTTTGCCTTTTACTGATAAAGAAAGGAGGAGAGGTTCAGTAGTGGGACCAGTGTCACACAGCCAGTGGGGCTGTGTGGGTCAGGGATTGGAGGGGCACCAGATGCCAGAGCCAGGCCCTTCAGCCCTGTGCCCGCTGCTGCAGAAGCCTGTCAGCTTCCGGTCATTGCCATCAGCAGCAGCTGCGGCACCCAGAATAAGCACTGGTGGAGCACTTCCTGCGTTTGCAGAACTCTGCGATCACAGGAGGCCCTTAGCAAGGAGCAAAGTCAAGGGCTGGTAGAGAGCAGACTCCAAACCCAAGTCCACAGGCTAAAGTGTGCTGCAGGGACCAGCCCGGGCAGGGATGCCCAGGGACCCTCTGCCTGGGTTTGCACATTTCCATTTCTCGTATTGAGCTTTCCACTTAATCGTGCAGATTCTATTTGCTTTCTGGTTTTAGAATGAAGCTAAGCAGAAGTTAAACTCCTGGAGGAGGCACACTGCACATTTTATTTCCACTTTATATTCGCAAACCTGCAGACGGTGTGGTGGTGCTCAAGTAAAACCCTGTGCAATTGATTAAAACATTCCTTTTTTGGTCTCTTTCCTCATTGATTATTCATATCCCTAAATGCCTTTAAGGGCATCAGCTTTCAAAGCAGCCAACAGCTAGTAGACAAGGAATCGGCACATCCAACATTTTCCTCTCCTAAATAAAAAACCTCTTTATAAAAGCTTCATTTTGCAGAGGCTTGCTCCTTTGGAGAGATGTAGATAAAGTAGATTGTGTTACATGTTTAATGTGGAAAGTTGGCTTCCCGCAAGAGCTTGAAGTTTCCAGAGCTGCACTGGAACTACCTTCCCTTGGGCGATCCCAGCGCCCGGAGGCAACAGCTCTGACGCATTTAAGACCTGACTCCAATCCACCGACGCCAGTCTTCATTTTCAACGGTGCCTGTGAAGTGCTCCACTTCCCGGACACTCGCAGCGCGCTCCTCAGAGGCGCACACCGACGAGCGCCGGCAGGGGGCGGCAGAGCCCACCCTTGTCTGCCGCGCCTCCCAAGGAGGAGCCTCCCGGCCGCACCGACGCCGCAGGTATGATTCTCGCTGACGTCACCACAGAGGGGTTCATTCCCTTCTGGGGCCGCAGTCTCCGGGACGGAGGGGCGTACAAGCAGGTTTGGGTGCGGCTGCGGGAGCGTGGCAGGTTGCTGGGGACGCTAGCAGCCCGCGGGGCGCTGGAGGCGCGGGGGGCCGCCCCTGTCCCCACGCGGCCAGGTCACCACCGGGGCGGCGAGGCGGTCCTCGGGGCGGGCTGCAGCAGGGCCGCGATGGCCTGGGACGCAGCCGCCAAGTCCTCCGGGGAAGGCCAGCCAGTCCGACAGCTAGCCCAGGGTGTGACCACAGAAGGCCTGCTCCAGTGCACGATCTGCGTAAAAGAAGTGGCGTTTCCACTTCCCCTGTGTGTTGATGCAGAGCCGTGATGCTCCCTGCCGGTGGCCACTGGCGCGCAGAGATGTTTTGGAGGACGGCACCTGTGTGCCATTCCCGTCTTGACCACCTTCCTGAGGAAATCGTGTGCAGAGACTGTGACTGGCTGGGTTAGGGAGAGATGGTGCCCGTATTTTTGACCAGAGAAATGCAAACACCGGAAAAGCCCGTGTGGTTGGTTCTGCCTCCTTACGTGCCCAGTGTGGCTCTGTGATCCTCCTTCTGCAGCTTTACCTTGTTTGGGGTGGTACATGTTTTCCTAGAAAGCTATGCAAAACGATTTTTACTGAATCTGATTTAAAAGTGGTAGCTTACCACATAGGACATGTGGATCCCAGGTAGCAACGGATTTACATGCTCTTGAATATGGATTTTCATATGCTCTTTCTCTTCGTTTTATGAAGAACTACAGATGAGATCATCTTTTTCACTGGTTTTCAAAACTGAGCTGGTTACTTCATAGTTATATAGGAGTGGAGGAACTCCTATTTTTCTCTTTAAATCTCTCTCTTATTTACAGAAGAAATAAAGAGAGACCCTTTTACTTTGAACAGTTTTAACATTTATCCCCCCCTATTCTGAAGTTTAAGCTTCAATAGATTAGTATATAAGTAGAGTAACATTAATAAGCTGATATGCTTAATAATCAGAAAACATTCCAATTTCTGAAAGTTCTATTCCATCTGTTCATCTGACCCATATAATGTGCTTGTGTATGTAGAGATTGGTAGATATCATTTTGAGAAAAAGGTATATTATACATTGTGCTCTAACTTTTACTGCCCATCTCCAAAACTGTATTTAACTTTACAAAGTGGATTGTGTAGATCTCTGAAATAAACAACAAGCACAAGAACACTGCATGTTTTTTATGGTTACATAAACACACAGTAAAAGTGAAAGGAACAAGGTATACTTTCACAAATGAGGTTGTCCTTGTCAGCAAACATCTGTGGAAGGGCTGATCACCGCAGAGGACTGAATCCGCATTCCTTGGGTGTCATACCTGGGAAATGGCTCTTTTGAGCAGGTAACTGGTTTTGTTTTTGTTGGCCTTCCTTTCAAAAGGAGAAAACAAGCATACTAAGCTGCACTTAAGAAAGTGGGAATTGAATGCAACTCCAGCATGCTGCTTATAGAAGGTGATCCACACGTGTTTCCAGTGATAAGGATCACTCCCTTGTTAGATAGCAGTCCTTCAGACATGTGCAGCAGCCCCTTCTGCCCCAGTGGTTCCTTCCCAGACCAGTGTCACCCAGTGCTGTGGGTTATCCCAGGTCTGTTATCTACATCGCTGAAGATGTGACACTTTAGAGATGACGTCCCTCCAGCTGTGGTCTAGAGAACTGAGACAGAGGCCCGTGGGTCTGCTGTAATGCATCCCTTAATCAGGATGCCCTATTTCCATTCTATGAGCAATCATTGTTGAAAAGGCCATTCATTGTAAACTAATAGTTTAGCTGTGCTGTGTGGAAACTGTCCTGAAGCCGGGCTTGTAACTGTCCTGAAGTTCCACTTGTAACTGATTATATAGTTCATTATTTTATGTTAATTTAAGATATCACTTGTATGGAAAAGTACAGGTGGAACAAATACCGAAGCAATTTACCAACTTCCCTCAACCTGAAATTAACAACTGTGAACCTATCATCATTTTAATGTAATTCTTAAAAAACAAACAATGAAACCCTCTCTAATCTCCTCCACAGTCCCTGGGCCCTCGTCTCTCTCGTCCCTGAGTCCCCACAGCACTATCATAACTTAACTGTATGCCCATCCAATCTGTCTGGCATGTTTTGCTCCCAGTCCCCTGGAAAACCCTTGCTCTAGCCTTCTCTTATCAGAGTCCCTTGAGCCATCCCTCATGCTGTTTCCGTGTCTGAGTATCATGGGTGTCTTTATCTTCACATGGACTGCTTTTCCATGTGGCTTTTTGACAGTCATTCTATTAGGACATTCTTTCAATGTGTGCTCCGTACAGGCTCCTGTTTCTTTGCAGATTTATTTTTAACCACCTCCATTTTGCACATTTTCTTTTTCCCTGTTTTATTATAGGGAAGGTTTTGGCAAAAGTGAGAAGAGACTTTAAAATACAATCATCAATAAGTTGGCCTTACTCACTTCAATAAGAAAATTGAGGGCCACAAATTCTCTGTAGGTATATTGAAAATGCCACTGAGGAGCTATTTACACACTTTCAATGTTTGGGTCAATGCCTGTTTAGGTCAATGTAACTATCAGTATGTTTTGAATATCAGAACTTTCTGTGACCTTAAATATGAGTTTGAGCCACCAGTAAAATTATATGTAAGCCATCAGGTTTCTCACAAGTGCATTGCCCCGAGCAAAAGGAGAATTTTATTTTGCTGCTCTATGTTCAAACCATGTCTTACCTTGTATGGGCCTATGGATCGAAGACTACTTATAACTATGTCAGGGTGTGAATATCCAGGAGAAAGGTGAACATTTGTATCAGTATTTCTATCACATAAATGCTACAGAGCAAATGACAGGATATTTTAAATTCTTTTTACATCTTTAATGAAATCACTTCCCCTTGCAACACCAAATGTTTTTTCTGGTCAGAGAGAGGGCTCAATATCAGATGTTGAAACTACCTTAATTTGTTCTTAGGAACCTAGACTTCTTAAAAGTTTATTATTCCCAGCATTTACCTGGGTGAACTAGTTATTGCCTAACAGTTTTAATTTTTATTTGTTTGCCAGGTTGTGAAAATGATTAGTTGAATCTAGGAGATACTTTTATAATAGCTTTTGATGATGGTTCTGTGGCCAATTACATTATTATTAAGTGGTATCTTAATTTCTGAAGGATTGTCGATCCACAGATGTAGGACTAACTAAGCTAGAAAGGCACCTTTGTGGATCATCGTGGTCTATTCTTTGTTAGACATAGAAGTTTAAAATTAGGCCATCATTATACTGACAGTGGCATATCCATAAGCCCTCCACAGATCATTTTTTGCCTCTTAGCTATTTTTCTATTTTGTTTGAAAGAAAAATACTAACAAAATCACATAAAATGTGGTTTTGTTATTTAATGAGCTGAGCCAAAGTAACAAACAAATAAGTTCATTATAGCTAAACTTATACTGAAAATACCTCCTCACCCACTCATCTCATACCACTACTGCAACATGTATATTTATTTACCTGGGTTTCTTCCCCCCGTCCTTAAGACAAAAGGACCATCCCTCCGCAAGGTAATCCCCAACCACGTAGAAAGAAAACAGCAAGGGAACATACAGAAATTTAAAGTTAGATTCAACAGAGCACAGGATAATCAATGATGAAAAGAGAATACATATTTAGGTTTCATAAAACATTTTAAACATTCTAGGTATAAAAGGTCAGATCATTTTGCTCAATTATGTTTTGTAGACATTTTGAAGGTTCACATTCATGAAACAAAATCATTATTCACTATATGTACAATTTCTTGAAAGTGTTTCAACATTCAAACTTTAGTTTTTGTGAAAGAACTTCACCGAAGACTTCTTTTTAAATGTTTTTCTTTTTCTTTTCTTGAGCCAATGTTGTCATTTTCCAGCCATGCAGCTCAACACACAACCTGTGGTTAAATGCTCCCTAACATGCAAACACACCAACACTCAGCTTTAGTGTATGGGCAGAAAGGTTGTTTTCACCAAATTCCTATTTTTAGATGAGTTCTGCACCAAACTATACACTTTCATTTTTTTTTTTAAAGTTAAGAGCAATATTTCATTTAAAATGTTTTTAAAAATAGGCTTGAACCTTCTTGGGAATAATCCAACTGTTTTGCTGAGCCCCCTCCCTGTTTGTTTTTTTCAAGGTTGCAGAAGTACAAAGAGTAGATTCAACTTGTTCCATAAAGGATGTACTTAGAGAAGACTGAAGTTACTTCTGGGTAGTAAGTTCTTTGACATTCAGGTAACAATTTATCACAATTTGACAAGATAGACTTTCAAAAGTAGAGGTTGAGAAGGAAAGTAGAAAAAGTTCTAGGGCAGAAAAGAAGAGCTCACATGGAAATATATAACGTGTTGTGATGTGATGTTTTCCTCCACACCCATATTATAAACAAACACCTGGAGCACAGTGTAAAAATCCTGTACTCCCTCACTGTGCTACATCAAGAGAAGTGGTATATAGGTTTGCATTTGTAGGGATTGGCTGGTATTTCTTTCTTCATAGTTATTGTATAGTTTGTAATTTGAAGTTCAGATTACACATTGCTAGAGAAGAACGGTCCATTTTCATTTATAAAATTTGTAGATTATTGATAGCTACTTTGTTCCCTTTGGTAATCATTTTAAAATCTGGCTGGCCTCGGCTTTGTATCTAAATACTTCCTCTCTTTCCAAAGACCTCCTTAAATTTCCTAGCAGTGTTTATAAAATCATAATTAACTTTGAAGACAGTCAAACCTGTCCTTGAAGGCAGACCTTCCAGAAAGGAAGATAAATATGTCATCTTGGTAATCTGCTATTTTGAATGGTGACATCACCAGGCAATGTATCATTCACGGAACCCTGCCCAGGTGACAGTTTCCTAGCAGTGTGTTTACTTCAAACTGTTCTAGAAGCAAGTTAGGTTATGACTCAGGACTGATGCTGCATTATTTTAAGCACTTAATATATTCAACAGTATGCACATCAATTTTATATCTCTTTAGTAATTCAAACAGTGGAGACCATTGTATTTGGAAATATAGACAACTTTAGGTATTATTATTATCTGTCTAGCCAAGACCAGTAACTTTCAGGGAGCTTAAATCCAAGTTCCATTTTTGGGAAACCAACACCCCATTGTTTTACATCCATGTATACTAATATCACTTTCTGTTGTTGGGCTGAACACTACCCATGTGTAATAGCTGCGATGACCATTCTTTCATTACACAGACGTGTATTGATATCCTATTATGTATCAGGACTGGGCTAGGCATGCAGAGATGAATTGAGGCAATCCTTGTCCTCCAGGAGGTCAAAAGCTGGGGAGAGAGACTGAGCCATAGACAAATAATCATAATTTAATGTGGAATATGCAACTATTAGTATGTGTCTCAGGTATTATGTGAACACAGAGAAGCATTTGTAACTCAGCTTGCTGGGGGGAGAGACAGCCAAGAAAGGCTTCCTGATGGCAGATGCCTGAATTGATTTGAAGAAGATAAGCATCAACGTGTCACCAACCGAAGCTGGGGGAAGGGCACATTTGGGAGGGGGAGTCAGTGACAGCAGAGACGGGCCCACGTCCACACACAAAGATACATTGAAGTGCATGCTGCCCTCCAAGAGGGTATAAGCAGTTTGGCGGGGGTGGCCTGTGAAATGAACATGAGCGGGGAGGCAAGGAGGAAGCAGGAACAGTAGGCTGGACTGACTCCTGGACGTGCTGGGGCCATGCTGATACACTTGGACTTTACCGTTAGTCAGCCTACAGGGAGCCATCAGAAGTCTGAGGCACGGCTCATGTGATCAGGGTTGCGTTTTAGGCAGAACAATTTACAGAGGTCAGAACTGAAAACAGCGAGACTGAACCCCAGGAGGAGAACCATGTGACTCTTCTGAGAGTTGGGGGAGAGGTGGACCAGACGGGAACAGAGCGAGGAGACATCCTCAACACGGACAGGAACCCGGTGGCAGAGCCCCACGACCGAGGGGACATGAGGGGGAAGGAGCAAGAGAAGTGAAGGTTGACTCCTAGCTCAGAGGACTGGACGGGTGGCAAGAGAGAGGCTGAAGTAGGGTGTGTTTCAAGGGCAGATAATGGGTGAGGCTTTCCCTACACCTGCCAAGCCAGCATCACCCTGCCTGCAACACACACACTATTTAAATCTCTCTGTTTTGCTCCCATAGTGCACTGTGCCTCCTCTACAGGAACATCTTTGCACTTCATTTTATTTACTTGTTGAATGGTCTGTCTTCCTCACTAGACTGTCAGCTCCTTGAGAGCAGTGTTCATGCTCTTCATTATCCATCCCACAGTTCGCAGGCTGCCTGGCACGTAGCAGCATCAATCAATATGCATAAAAGCAATGAGTTCAGTTTTCAGACAATTAAGCATCAGCTGTACATTTTCAGTTAGTTTTCTATAGTCTTTATACATATTTTTTTAATTTGTGATATTGGGCAAAGGACTTCACCCTCTTCTGGGTATCGCATCTTCATGAAAATAGTTAGGATTCTGGACAGGCATGCTTGCTGAAGTCCTGCCCAATCCTGATGTTTTACAAGAAAGGAAGACATTTTAGAGGACTGGCCACAAGGAAAAAAATAGTAATACATTACATACTTTATTGAGCAGGAAAAAAACCTTGGAAAAACAGAAAGCCCATACTCTCTGTACACTACCATTAAATTTTCCACTGCTTTCCAGCCTTTTTGATGTACGTGGACTTACTAAATCAAAGAGAAGTCAGCTCAAGGGTAATATTTGCTGGGTGTTGCCATGTGCCATAGCCAGTGTCCTTAGGTCTTGCTGTTCCAGTGGCTGGTCTGGTTCGACAAGGACCAGCGCTCATCGTGTGGGAGCATGTGCCTGGCTTTCCCCAGAGCAGCTCCATGTATGCTGTCGCCAGTGTCTCTCTGTCCCTAAGAAGCCCAGCATTGATTCTGCTCCTAAATGGTTTCCACTTCTTGCAAAGCATCATTATGCTCCGTACCAAAGAATGTGAGCTCAGAGGCGTCTTTGTCTGAAACAACTTTGAAGGCAAATTCCTTGAACTTTGGAGCCATTCAGCATACAGTAGGTCCTTTCCTCATGGATGCATGTGTTTAACTCTGGCAGAAGCCTTTACATATTTTTCCATAGTTCCATTTATTGTGACTTTCTAGGGACATTTCACTGTTGAAAATTTGACCAGAAAAGAAAGTACACATTATTCATGCTAGGTTTTCAACATGCTTGAAAAACCCATTTGTTGTTTTGCTGTTTGATAATAACCTTTGTAAGACATCTGTCTATGGGTCTACCTCACTTGTATAGGGAAGTGTGCTGAAGTGATGTGCACAAATTTAGTTTCTGTGGATCAAAACATACCAGGAGAGATGGTGAATGGACTTCCTCATGCTCTTTTTTAAAGTGAAATATCTGCTTTATAGGGTAGTCTTCTAACTTCCCTATTTGCTAACCTTATGTGTTATTATTTCAGAATAACTGCTTGTCTCAGCCCTGCCTCTGACCCAAGGCACTGCTGTTTCTTCATCTGGACTGTTGTTGTGACCTCCTCACTGGCCCCATAGTTCCACCCTAGTTCTCACCCAGCGGCCACGGTGATCCTGAGAATCCCAAGTCCCTACAGAGGACCTCACCTTGCAAACTACACCAGGAGCTCTGCCCTCTCAGTCTTTGTGCTGCTGGCCCCTCTTCCTGGCACCCCATCCCAGCTGCAGCGTGGCCGCTGCCCTCTGTCCTCCAAGGTTTTCCTCCTCTCTGCCATCTCAGTGAGTCCAACTGAAACCACTCAGTTTCAGACCCCAGCCTTCACCCCACTCTGCCCGCCTCACCCTCTTTCCCTACCCTGTCCCAGGCCCTTTCCACCTTCTGACATACCATGTATTTGCCCATTGATTTTGCTTATTGTCCTCATCAATAGAGCATAAGCTAAATGAAAGCTGATTTTTCTTGTTTTGTTAGCTGCTCTATTTCCAGTGCCCAGCATGGTGCCAGCACACAGTAGGGGTTCTGAATATTTGTTGAATGAATGAATAAGTGAATTAATTGAGTATTTTCTATGTGTCATCTAAATGGAGTCAAATTTGGTTTTCTTTATCATATAAAACTACATGGTAAGGCTAATGTCTATGATGGGTATATTCTAAAAATTGTTTGTAACAAGCTAATCAGGACCTTCTTTATAACACAGAGGCCTGATGATGGGACTGAGCTGGGGGAGGCATAGAAGACAGTAGAAAGAGATCATGGACTGAGGATTTAGCCAGAGCATTTGCTCTCAGTTTCTACATCAGGAAAACGTGCATGAACATTCCTGGCATTGTTGCGAGGATTAAAGATAAGGTGTATAAAGTGCCTGGCCCACACTGATGATTACCACCTAAATGGAATAATCATAAGCTTGATGTCATCCTTTAAAGCTGTCCTAGAGATTTTCTCAGCTGTCCCAGTGCCTTCAAACTTCTAAGAAAGCAAATGAACGGTCCGATTTCCTGCTGGAAGTCCTTGGCCACTGCACCCTGGAGGGTGGGGAGGACCTTTCAGGACTGGAGCAGAGCAGACCTGCCAAGCTCTGCCACCACATACCCTTAGCAGACATGTGAAGGATCAGACTCTCTCCCTTTGCCCTGGGTAAAGCGGACACTTCTTTTGTCTGTTCCTGCTTCCAGCGTGTGCACTCGTGCGGTGCCTGCAATGTGTGGTCTGGCCCGCACGTTACGGTCTTACACTTGGCCTAGGAAATAGAAATGGCACGTCAGGTTTCAAATGACCTGCCTGTGGCTACCGGGTGCCCTGAACTCCAGATAACTGTTCTTTCACCATTTACAGCCCTCATACATCTACGTCGTGAATACTGACTGCTTATTCTATACCAGGCACTGTTGCAGGCCCTGGGGCTGCAGTAATGACTGTCCTCATGGAGTGTACACTCCAGTGGGCTAAAAATCCCACAGATGAGTGGCAAGGAAATGTGTCACATACCAGGTAGAGATTCTTGCTATTCAGAAAAGGAAGCAGGGTGAGTGGCATCGGATGTTATGAGACTGCAGAGGTGACATTCGGGCAGAGACTGGCACTGTTGCAGGCCCTGGGGCTGCAGTAATGACTGTCCTCATGGAGTGTACACTCCAGTGGGCTAAAAATCCCACAGATGAGTGGCAAGGAAATGTGTCACATACCAGGTAGAGATTCTTGCTATTCAGAAAAGGAAGCAGGGTGAGTGGCATCGGATGTTATGAGACTGCAGAGGTGACATTCGGGCAGAGACAGAAGTGAGCCTGACAGGCCTGGGCAGTGCTGCAGTGAGGGAACAGCCAGTGCAAAGTCCCCGAGGCAAGACCATGTTTGGGTGTTGAAAGCATGGCAAGTAGCTGGAGCTCGGTAGGCAGGTGAGAGAGTGTGGGAGAGGTGGTCAGCGAGCGGGCAGAGGGCCAGGCCCTCCCTGGCTTTCTAGACCATCAAAAAAAATTTTGAGTTTTACTCTGTGCAAGATGGGAAGCATTGAGCATTTGGGGAGAGGAATAACATTCTGCTGCTGTGCTGAGTAGACTAAAGGGAGACGAGGGGAGACAGGAGAGCTTGCAACAGACCCAGAGGCAGCAGCAGTGGGATGGGAGGTGGGGCAGGGGGCGGGGGGCATTGCCAGCAGCTGAGGCCAGAGCTGCAGGAGTGCAGGTGTTGAGAGGTGGTTCCCTCTGGATGTCGGGCACGTAGAACTGGAAGATTCTGCTGAAAGATTGGAAGCAGGCTTCCAGGGAAACAGAGACATTTATAATTAACTCCAAATTTCTGGCTCAAGCCACTGGAAGAATGGGGTTGCCATGTCCCCAAGAGGGAGGGATTGCAGGTCGAGCAGGTATGTGGTGGTTCAGTTGGTCTGGTATTTTCTTTGAAGGATGCGGGTGAAGTCAGGAGTTCAGTTTGGGGGATGTGTGGTTTATTCAATATCCAAAGGAGGTGTGCAATAATCGCATTGACAGGAGTGAGTCTCAGAGGAGCCTGGGGTCCACCTGGGTTGGAGACACACATTCAGATACATCAGTACGGAGATGCTGTTTAAACCCATGAAAGTAGATGGAATCATCTGGAAAGTGGGTGTAAACAAGGAAGTGGCTGGGGTCAGTGTAGCACTCCAACATCACACAGTTGAGGGACTCCAAAGAACCAGAAAAGGAGGAGAAAGTGGGCCCATGGGGAGATGAGTGGGGAGACCATGTCCGGGAAGCTGGGAAATAGAGTGCAGGGTGAGGTCCCCTCTGCCATATGGGCCATCATGTCCATGTCCCAAAGTCTGCGATATGACCACGGTTATAGCAATGTGTAGGCAACTTCAGTAGGCTGGCCTCCTATTTCTTTTTCAAGAAATTTATTTATGAATTATAATTTTTTAAAGTTTTTCTTATAGAAATATATATATGCTCCATGTGGAAATTTAGGAGAATGAAAAATAAAGAGAAACAGAAAAAATTACTCCAAATCCCTCTAGCCATAGACAGTTTTTTCTATGCATTTTTCCTTACATATTTGAGATGATATGTATATGTATTTGTGGGTATGTGTGACCTTCTTTTATAAGCTTAATATTGTACCATACATTCCCAGGTCATTGAAAGAGCTGCATTATTTTTAGTGAATGGACTACAAATGCCTTATTCTATATTATGATTTATTTAATTATTCCTCTACTGCTGGGCATTTAAGTTCCCAATTTTTAACTACCATAAATAGCATTGATAATAACTTCTTTATGCTCATTGGAGGTCAGTTCATAGAAGAACTAGCTAGATGTGGTACTAGTCAAGAGGAGTCAAGGGTATAAGCATTTTAGAGCACTCACTAAATATTGCCAAATTGCTTTTCAGAAAGTCTGTGGGAATATACACAGCCACACAAAATGAGAGAGAGAGATTTTCTTACTACTCCCTTCTGATATTGAGTACTTTTAGAGTGTTAGAGTATTTTTTCCCTGATTATTAAAGCAGTACTTTTTTTATTGAGGAAAATTTGAAAACTCAGTGAACAGAGACTTTTAAAACAAACAACAGCAAATGCTTTCAATACTTGTGGTGATGTTTTTATGCTTAATTATACTTTTACCAATTGAAATCATACCATATGCATGTGTACAACATTCAAAATGCATATATACATATGTGTTTGCCTTCTTAACTTGGCATTACTTCATGAAGTATTTTCCACGTCATTAAATATATTCCCATACAAGGCTTTAATGACTCCATAGTATTTCATCTCATGGGTGTGCTATAATTTATTTGCTATTCTCTGATTATTTGGTATTTGTATCAGCTTTTCATTACATACACTTCCAAATACTTGAAAATAGCAATCATATCACACTCATCCACATACACCTGTGCCCATATACACACACCTTGCACCCTTCATAGTCTGCTGGCTCTCAGAACAAAACCCTCATCTTTTGATCATTCTTTTTATGACTTAGTTTCTTATCCCCATTGCCATTTTCTGGATGCATTGCCACTTACTAGTACTCCAAATGTCTTGTAATTTAAAGAGATGCTTATAATATTTATTTCCTATTTCATTAACTTTTGGTCTGAGATTCTTGAAGGCAGAGCCTCTATCTTCCTCTTGTCAACACCTGTCACGTATGGTGCCCTCCAGCCCAGTCAGCATGAGTTGTGGCTCGTGGCCGCCGAGTTTGCTGAGTGGATTGTACACCAGTAGATGCAGTTGACTGAAGACCATGATACTAACCAATTTGAGGAACCATTCCCGGGAGCATGACCAATAATCAGTTCATTGAGATATTGTGACTTTTTATGATACAGTTTGCTCGAGCTATGCCATCACATCCGGTTTCTGTGCTTCAGCTCTTCAGGGCTTCCTGCTGCTACATGTTTTCTCCTGAATGAACCTGTCTCCTGGAAGTAGACAACCCAGGAAAACAATGTCACTGCACTGATAATGGGAGGGAAAGTCTCACGTCTCTGCTGACTTAGTTGGGGAAGAGGAAGGGACTTCGGATAGTTCTCTTCTCCAACTCCTCATATGATTTTTAGATAGGAAAATTTGCCTTGATCAGTCTTGTACTCCTTGAACAAAAAAGCTTTCCTTCTTTGTCACCTTCCCACCCAGGGGCTTCAGGGTCCCACAGAGGCAGATGGTGTCTGGGTATGAGGGGTCTGCAAGGGCCACATTTCTCCACAACACTTCAGCCAAGAAAATTAGCTGTGGTGACATCTGAGGTTTACAGGACCAAATAAAGTTGACTTTGTGTTACCCATTACCTATGCCTTATTTGTGCTCAAAATCTATTTAAAATGCTAAGTAGAAATACGTGCACCTTACAACCCATAGAGGCTGTGTTAAAAACCTGTCATGCCTGTGACAGCTAGCAATTACATGTATACACTAACATACATGCATATTAAATCCTTGTCTGGGCTGAGAGACATGGTTTGTTTTAACAGTCCATATTCAAACTTTTCCTGGGACACTTAAGTATCTAAAACTTAAGCCTAATGTGGCTTTTAACTTACCTAATAGTTACCAAATACACATTCAGCTACCACCATCTCCTGACTTCCTTCCCTGTCATGACTGAATGCCAGGAGTCTATTTTTCCAGACTAAGAATACTACTAAGACTCTCTTGAGAACAGTAAAGTAAGACCCATGTCAAACTGCCACTCATTAAATGCATGATAAACACATCTTAAAGAGCCAACAATCCCATGTCTTACCCAAAGGTATTTTCAAACATTATTTCCAAAACATGATTTTGTTCCAAGTAATGAGAGTAGGCCTCACAATTAACTAATTTCCAGCCAAGTCTGAAATATCAAAGGTTAGTCCCCAGAGATGACAGTGTGTAAAAGAATGGGGCTCTTGTTTGAAAATTCAGCTGTGTTGATTTTACAACTTTGGGACTGTAGAATGGCCAAAAGGCTGGATTAACCTTCTTTTCAATCTATTGTAAGAATTCTCTCATTTCTAGGATGCCAGTTAGACTCCAAGAATTCACGCTTATTCTCTCATGCCTGGAGGTGCCCACCCTTATCAGGAGAGTTGACTGTAATGGCTAGGGGTCAGGGACTGAAGGAGTAAAAGTCAAGTTTCTAATCCAAGTATAGGGTATCTGTTTCACCTGGCAAGTTCAAGACTACCTGACGGCTTGTATGAGACCCGGCAAAGAGGAACAAGTTCCGACACACATCGACTGTGTGGGGCTTGGGCCCCGAATGCTTGATCCTTACTAGAGCTTGCTTTTTAGTTTGTTCTCTTCTCTAGAGTTTTAGTTCCTAATACCTGGGCCCTCAGATTGATAGGTTAGAATCAATAACTGAGGCTTTGCTTCTCCATTTCCCGACTGTGGACCCTTCTCTCCTGGACCCAAGACTCTGTCCCTCGGTCTGCCCCAGCTCTGAGGACAGACTCTTCAGGGCTGTGCCTGCAGGTTTAAAATGCCTGCTCTCACCTCTCAGAACATTGCAGAGACACTCAGATATGTTTATGATATGATTTAAATCAATTTGAATGTCCTACAAGAAACACAATCGTTGTTTCAAGTGCAAAACTGAAATATGTTCAGAAATGGTTAAGTTCATAAACTTTTGCCTGCAAATTCATGATATGTAAAAAGTAATAATAGAATTTTGTAGTGACAGTGGTCCCAGAATTTTTTTTTTTGTAGTGCAGTGATAGGCCCAGATCTCAAATGCAGTGATATGGGGTGATACATACACTACAAGCCTATAAATCTTTAAAAAGCCACCTCATCCTCCCACCCTTCAAAATCTAGTCCCTTGTGTTCATTTCTGTCTAGCAGTATTAAATCTGGTAAAGGTGGTGTTTGTCTTACTATCATTAAAAGTCTGTATATAAACTAAGAAATTTCCATAACAGCCAGCCATCAAAATGTGTGAAACATCTAAAATGTTCATATAATTGGAAGCCCCCCCCAAACTCCACCCCTCATCAGTATTTGCTAAATACATGTTTTCCCTCGCTTAACATCAATAAACCATAGCTATGTCTGGGTTTACTGTAACGAGACTGTGGA